CTCATCCGTGCATTCCTGACACATCTATAAGTGGAGCACTACAATTAGAAATTCACTGGAAAGAGACCTCCTAGGAGTCTTCAGCACTCAACATTTTGCCTTGTTTTGTTTTGTCTTCAGCACTCAGTATCTTATTTTAGTTTACCATTGTACTGCTGAAACGGTTCAATCCTGTCCCGCCACTCTGCAAGAAAATGCGTTCATTGCCTTTTCTCTGCTTTTATTATCCCCAAATGGTTATCAAAAGAAGTGACACGATAACCACCAGCACTGTCAAACATTTAAATCCCTTTTAAATTCCAGTCGTTACAGGACATTATTTCCCAGTATGCTTGAAACTTAATGAAAACGTATCACTGATTTTTAAATTTAATTTTCTTTACATTTTTATTGTTCTGTAGCTCACATTGAGAATGAGCCTCTTTTCCTTCAAAATAGTGCTCACTTTGGCTTAAAGTGTTGGATAGTGACAGATGTCTAGTACTGGGGGCAATGACACAGAGGCAGGCATGAATCCTTAGATATCTTGCCTAACTCTGCCTTCATGCTCCCCACCTGTTTGCACAACCACATCACCCAAAGGCCTTCAACCCAGACCAAGGTTCCACGTTGCTACATGCCATACACATGGGGAGTAAGAGGCAAATCACACTGAAGTGGCTGCCAAGCTCCAAGGACAGAAGAGATTTTGAGAGGAAGGAGAGGGGAAACATTACATTCAAGGTCATTTAACACAGCAGTGGTTGCTGGGAATGAAACAGGTCTCCAGAGTGCCAGCCCAGTTCCCTCTGGATCAAGATGCCTCCGAGAGCTGTACACAAGTAGATTTCATCTTGACCATGGTGCATGGTCAAACAAGATTTTTTTGCTGTTTAAAGACTTCACAAATTTTGGCCACAGGGCATTTGCTTTTAGAAAAACCTTAAATACCATCAGACCAGGTACATCTTATTACCTGGTACACCTCCCACAAAGTGCTATTTTGCCAAACAGACATTCTGTTGTAAATTCAGGATAAAACTCAAGAGTTTCAGAAGGCAGGTGTCCAATTCCAGACAAAGCAATCATCATTCAATACATAATTCACAGCAGGGACAAAAAATCCTGAGCTTACGTCTGCTGCTATTTCCAGTATTTCATTTTCCCAGTCTCTGCTGGAAGCCCTTTCTCCAGAGTCACAAAGTTTTCTTGTTTTTTAAAAATGCAAACATTTGTTTTATGGGCTGAAGTTTGGCATGTTTGGCTTGGGGTACTTTTTCGTTAAGGTCTTGCTGCACTGATCTCTTATGCAAGGATTTAAGCAGAACAGGTAAAAACTGGGGAAACTACCCTTTAATAGAGGAGTCAGATGACCACAGCATTCACTAGGCCTCTATTTAGGAGGCTCACACAATTTATGACTTGCCCCTGCTCCCATCCAAGGAAATTATGCACCTAATATCTTGTCTTTTACTAATGCCTCCTTTTACTAATGAAAGATACAGTGGGTTCTCTGCTTCTGAACTTTCCAATGAGTTACTGCAATTTAGAAGGTGTGATATGTACACAGAAGCACATTGCAGCTACACAAGAGGAGCTCTGTACTTTACTCATCACACTAGTACATCCAAACTGCACCAAACAGGAGGAAAATATTAATTAGATTTTTTCCTAACGCATCTGCAGTTCTTCCAACAACATCTGCAGCAAGGTAAACCTCATATGCCACTGCAGTCATGGCAATTTTGAAATGATGTTGGTCATCTTGTACCATTTCAATTTACTGTATCAGAGGGCTAGAACTGGTCATGCTGGTGAAGGTCAAGCAGATCCTCTCTAAAACTTCAGTTCTAGCTTAAAAACAGTCTCTCCTACATCACCTCACATGACAGAAAACATCCTTAGATGCTGCTCTGTTGAGGCTAAAGATGATGATTTAGTCTTGTGATTTTCTGTCCTCTTACGTATGTGCAATTTTGAAAGGAAAAAACTTTCATTTAATCACTGCTGACTGCTTCTTTGATTCAGAGAGACTTTTGCTTGCAAGACATGGACTCAGCTCAGGTCACCTCTACTTTCCTGCTCATCTGCCTAGAATTAGGCAGGATCATGAGGTACCAGGAGGGCACTGATGACCACAGGTGTCCAAACTCTCTCCCTGTCTTCTATTAATGGTGGTCAGTTTCAGGTCATGGCAGTGTCCTTGTCACCTGCCTGGCACACAAAAAATGTTACCAGAGTGACACCCAGGTCAGCAATGCAGGGATGGTGCAGAGATTCACACTCACCCATGTCCTCAACAGCAAGGGCTAAGGGACATTGTCTGGGGTTGATGTTGGCCCATCCTTTCTGAGAAACATACATCCCTCTGTGTCAGAGGCACCTCCTGGTGCAGCGTGTGTCTTTGCAATCTTGAACTTGTACCAAGGATCAAAAGAGCTTCCCTTGGTGTGAATTTATGCCAGTGGGCAGCGTATGTTAAATAAACTGCTTGTCATTACCCTGCTATCACTCCTGCTCCAGTGAGAGAGGATTATGTTACAATTTATCTTACGTTGCTTTAAAACTGTCTTGAAGATAATAAAAAAAAAGAAATGTAACAATAAAATTTCTCTTATTCCAAAACTGGAGTATCCCCAAGGGCAAGGTATTCCTACAAAATTATTGTAATGCTTTAACCGCATAAGCACAACTGGAAACGTCTTCTCTGAAAACAAGTCGTAGCTCTTTTTTCCTATCTGTAGCCATTATCCTGATAAATTTGGGAAGGTCAGCTAAGGTGTAATCCAATAAATGTGCTGATGTTCTAAGTAAGTACCTTACAATTTGCAGCCTAATCTATTATCCTACTATAAGACCATCAAATGACTCACCAGTTTTAATACTTAGTACAGATCAAACAAAGGAAAATATCAAAGCTTTACATTCTAGTTCCACCTTTCAAGGACTTGTTTGAGTACTCTTTAATTACAGCAGATGATACATCCAACTCTGGCATTTTCTTTCTCTAACAGCTGTAGTTAGAAGTTGCTGTAGCAGTACTTTTTACAGGACATCATTAAGTTAACAAAGAGATGCTGAAAAGTCAGATAGACTGAATAGATTTAGTTGGCATTTGATCCCGGAGATGGAGTTCAGCTTCTTCTGCCCACCAGACCACACAGATGTGCTCCTGGATGCAGGTAACAAGTCTGCAGAGCCTCTACTCGAGCTGTGGCAGAAAGCCATGGGAACAAGCATGTGCCGGAATGGGAATGAGCACATCATCTCAGAGGGTAATGAGCTTCAGAAGTCAGATCAAGTCCCAAACTTGGGCTATGACTTCAAATCCTCCAGAAAACTCAAATACAAAAAACAAATACAAAACTCAAATAACCTGCAGAAGTTTACCACTGAAAGAAAAAATTTAAAAATCACAGCATTCAAATGCAAAGGCATAAAATAAAAGTGAAAAAACAACCTATTACAGAACCCCAGGTCCCAAAGGAAGAAGCACCAGGAAACAGTCAGCAGCACTGCCAGCAAACTGCAGGTGCTCCATGAAATGGGTACAGAAGTTACCTGTCCCCACAAAGATGTCAGAGCTGACTGTGGGTGCTGCTGAGGAAAATGGGGAGCCCAAATCTCTTTCACTCAACTCTTGCAGTGTTTGGAGCCTATGAAGCACTCCCCAGTAACAGTGTGCATTGGTGTGTGTTTGGCCCGTGCAAACAAACTGAACATGGGTTATTCACAACAGTGCCTCAGCAGAACTTGTCTCATTTATCACAACAACAAAACTGCACTGGGAAAAGGGCTGAATTGCATCTGGTTTACATTGTTGGTCTTTTTGACTGACTAACCCAAATTAGACCATTTTTCAAGGACAAGTCTGTAAGTTTATGCAATAATCGTGCACATGCCACTAAAATGAAAAATTAGTTTTTAGGGAGGTCCCTGCAGAAAGGATGGAAACCCAGAGCCACTGTGTGCAGGGAGACACTTTCAAAAGAGCACAAATCTGATTTCACTCTGCTTTTGCTCCATTTGAAGACTTGAAGAGAAGCAAATCTAAAGAGACTTCAATCACTATTTTAGTTCTGCTATACAAAGGTATCATCTCTCCGTTAAAAGAAATGGAGCAATGAAAATAAACCAAAAAAGACAAACCAAGGAGAAGGCTTGCATGGATAGTAGGTGTGCACCCATCACTCACCTAGCCCTTTGATACTTTTGACTTTTGGGGCTTTATAAAGAGAAATACAGCATACATATAGCTGTATACAGCCTACAGACCCACACGCATGTAAGAAATGAGACCAGTCATGAGATTAGGAAGGAAAGACAAGGCACAAACATATCTAGGATGATTTTATGAGATCTCAAGAACAGCCCTTTTAAAAGTGCCACTGGGGTGTCACCACTTCCTCTGATAAATAGATGACATCTCACCAGAACTTAAATAGCTCCACTCAAGCACTACCTAGATGAGTGACAAAAATTAGCCAAGTCACTGTCACCCCTGCAGTCCTCGTCTAGACACAGCAGAGAAGTGCGAATTCCAGTCTGCCTCGCTGGGCTACAGCCACCCTGACAGCTGAGCTCCAATCCAAGGCACTTCATGAGATGTGGATATCTGGATCCTTCTGGCAGCGCGACAGACAAAAGTTAACAGAACAGAAAAACAACAAGAAAATAAAAGCACAAAAGTACTTGTGAACCGAAAAGGTTTTAATTCACAAGTCATTGTTGGTTGAAAGCTGAGGCAAATGAAATGCCATTTTTTGCAAGTATTCTTCTAACAATCTCTGTGGCGATCTGACAATCGGGATCAGAGGCCCTTTGCTCAGAGGTGCGGCAGCTTTTGAGCTGGTGCCCCCTCAGAGCAGCTGCGCCCTTCTCCCCATTGACAGCCACATCTGGATGCTATCAGGAGGAACTGGCAGGCCTTCTCGCAACAAATACCAAGCACTTAGCAAATTGACTCCAGAAGCTGATGCTGGCCCTTTTCCCACTCTGTGTTTACACAATGTGCCACTAACCTGTTGAGTCCGAGGTTTGTATGGGGAGCTGCTCTCTAGGTCAGCTAGGATGCTGGTCAGAGAGTCGATTTCTGCATCTAAACTGGACCGCCTCTCCTCTAGTGTCTTGCCACCAGGATTCACCTTAAAAAAGAAAGAAGAGTTCCAGTTATTCAAACCACTTGGCCTGGCACATGGATTCTTACTGTCCTCATGGAGCTGCACCCATGCCCAGCAATAACTCTCGAGTTGCAGGGACAAACACGCTGAAATCCTATAGCTCCCTCCAGAACTAACAGCAAGCCTCCATCTCACAGAAATTTATGCTGTTTTGGGGCTTTTCTTCATGTACTTGCCACAAGGGTCCCAAGGATTAGCAATTCAGCAATCTGCTGCTGAGCTGAAGAGACAGGACACCCCCTGCACCATTAAATGGAGAAGATGTGTTACTGAAGGATACCTGTCTGGAAAGACAAAGCTGGGGACAGGCTTGGAGCACCTGGATCCTGAGAGCATCTCTTCTGCCATGTTCTCATCTCAGGCAAAGCACAAACAGAACAGAGGTACAAGCCACAGGAGCCAGTGATTGGCCAGGTGCACCTATTCTTATTTTAAATCAATTCTTGGTAGGTGCACCTGTCTGATTCAACACTGCTTCACAAATTCCATCTGAAAAATGAGCTCCTTCAAGAAGGAGTGAAAAAGTTCAATTCATTTCTAGCAGATTGAAGGTGAGGGGTGTGATTAGCAACAAGCAGTCACAAAATAACATAAGTAAGGTCATGGTGAAAAGGCTTTTATGCAGGAAAACCCATGTCCAGAGCAAATGCCAACATGCAGCCAAGGACCCTAATTCAATACATTTTGCTTTCTTTCTGCTTTCAAAAGAGCTCAGTCCCATTTGTACCCAGGCTGGTAGGGTCACTCACTTGGAAGGGAAGAGACATGAATTTTCACCACCACCACCATCCACCTCAAAAAGTAAAACCCAGAACTCAGCACCAGAGAAGAGCATGTGACCTTCAAGCCCCTGTTTAAGGGCAGCACTGCAATCCCTGCTGGAATAAGTATTTTTAAAGAGGACTTATTCACATGCTTTGTTTTTGATAAATCAACCTAGTCCAAAATCTCTGGGAAGAACATTTGTGCTGTACAGCCCAACCCAACAGCAGGATCTCTCAACAGGGCACAAAGTCAGGTAAAGGCTAGGAAACATCCTCCTCAATGTTTTCAGTGCTTTGGGAATTAGGCAGATCCACCAGGAATGGTAAATTTAGGAAAATCAGCTGAGGATCCCTGCCATGAACAAAACAGCTGCCAGGGGCTATCCCCACTGAGCCAGGCCACCACCAGGGCATGCACAGAAACCAAAGTTCTTGAATCAAGTGAAATGTTACACTGGAAGTCTTTTCTCAACCTGAGTTATTTTTTCTCTGTTCTTCCACGTCTTACTTATCTGCAAATCTCCTGGAGAGGACAGAGTCTCTCTGTGTATGTGCAACTACAGAGTCCTGTGCAGAAAAGTTCATTCAGAGCTTGACACTGTCAATAATAAAAATACTAAAGAATTACCTAACAACTCACCTAATTTCATCTGCAAAAGCTGTTCAGATCATACCAGAACCTGCCCACAGACAATCCAGCTCTGTCTGCCTTCACTCTCACCAAGTTACTTCAATTTTCCAAGCCAAAAATTTGCCTTTTCCTTTGGCTCACTGGCTGTTCCAGATAATTTTTATTTAAATTTCATTTTCAGGAGCAGTCAATCATTACCTGTTTTAAAGAACTCCCCAGTCATCAATCTGACACATAAATGGCAAGTTGGTCAAAGAGAGACAGGCTATGCAAAGTAGGCAGCCTCTGATCTGCCAAACTTGTACGTGCTGAGGCATCCATTAGCTCCTAATGATTATTAAATCTTATTGGATTACAATATATTTGGCTTGACTAACAAGAAAATTGAAGTTCCAGTGTGGCTTATGCAAGAACACACCATTTAAAAGGCTGAGAGTCAGGTTAGAAAATACTTACAAACTCGACTCTTCTTGCCTTTTTTTATTATAGAGCCAAAATCTTTCCATCCAAACCATTGTTCAAAAAAGGAAATATTTTTCACAGGAACTAGCCCAGATCATTACTCCTGGCTAACTGCAGGCACCTGTTTTTTTAAATCTGCAAAAGTACAACTTCTTTTCCACTTCATGGCTCTTGTTTGGTTTTTCTCCATCTTCCAGTTGTTGGCCTGTAACTGCCACAGGCTTCTCAGACAGAAAATCTGTGATTGCTCCACTCCAGAGAATTTTTAAGCTAAGCAGCCAAAAGTCAGCATGGAGAGGAGAGGGGAGATGCAAAGGGCATCCAAGGCCCCAACATGTGAGGTGATAAATCAAGCCAATGGCAAACCCAGGAATAACACTGGAGTCCACATAGGACCTGCATGGTGCCCTGACTCTGGAGAGAAGGGATGGTGGCAGATGAGAAGAGCAGCCAATTTCATTCTGCTTCTTAGCATTTCTGGGCCATATTATTCCCAGGTTCTCATTCCCCAGAACAATTATGCAATAGCTGACTTGCAAATGCTGCAGAACAAGTTATAAGGTTGTAAAAGTTAAATGTCCTTAGGAAACCTAGAAAAATAAAATAAAACAACATAGAAGCATCTCTATTGATTCTGAGCTTTGATTTATTTATTCAATTAAAACATAATCAACATAGATTAAAAGCCCAACTCTACAAATGCAGGAACATAATGCAGTGCAACAGTGCCAACGAATGACACTACTGATGTGTGCCAGGGCCTACTGGGGCAGAAATGGACTTTAAAGACATTTAAGGAATGGTAATCCTCACAAAGACAGGTTTCTGGTTGCTTTTTCTTCCCCATCCTTACAAATCCTGAATTTTCTCTCTCCCCACAGTGTTCTATATTCAACCAGGATTTGCTGCGAGGGCAAACTGGAGCATTTGCAACACCAACTTCAGCAAGAGAGGGTTAAGTTAACCCTCTTCCCATGCTCTTTGTCATGACGTTGCTATAAAAGTTTTATGATATTGTTCTGGAACAAACCCGAGCGCCAGGTCCCAAGGCACAACAGGTTCGCACAGACGCGCTCTGCTCCGAGGAGCCCGGGCTGCTTCAGCTCAGAGCCCCGCGGATACAAACACCGGAACCATGGGGAACTGCTAATTCTATTTCTGTCTGGATTTATGGCATTGTTGCAGACATGTCGCTTGTGCACCCCCTCTTCCAGCCAGAAGAATATGGAAAAATGGGTTTAAAAAGAAAAAGGATGCTATCTTTGGCTCGGCCAACGTGATTTAGACAAAAAGCAAACGTAAGCCAACCCAGTCCAACAAATTACTCACGCCAGAGAACTATCCACTCACGTGAACTTCTGCAACGCCTACACTCCTATCCCCTGGCTCAGTCTCTGCTGTGAGTCAAAAGAGAGAAAAACAGCAGAGAGCTTCACTGCTTGGCTTGTTTGTCTGCCCCTGAATTCCTGGTGTGCAGCTCAGAGCAGCTCTGGTGGTAATGTACTCCCGAGCCCCATCAAACCACTCTGCTCTGATGAAGATTTGCTTTACTTTTGCTAATCTACAAGCCAACAGCAGTCAGTGCCACAGGTCCCCCCACACCACTCCAAGGAACGTTCATTATAGAACACGCAGTGCACAGGTTAACGCAGGGTCTCAAATTTTGCCTCACTGTGCTAAAAGGGTTGTAAGACTACTCACTAGGCTAAAAGACATGAAAAAGCACAATGATTTCCCTAGATGTCACCTCTTCCTACAACTCTAGATCAGCTACTCTTATCATATTTTGCAGCTTTCAGCAGAAGAACAAGAACGTCTCTTGTTTCACCAAGCCAGCTCCTTACAGTGGGCTCCAAGAGAAGAATCTGGCTCCCAGATGTCCTTCCTAGCTCCTGCTCCAAATTCCTTTCCCTACCCAGGCCCAGCCGTGTCTCTTTTATTCTGTTTTCCCCTCTCTCCATGCCCTGTTTGCTGCCTTGCAGGGCTGTAGCTCAAGCCAGGCATTATCCCGTGGGATGAGAGGTGCAATGTGGGCTGCCAGGTTGGCTCTGAGCCAGACTGCTGGTGCCAGGTGGTGTTGCTGTGTCGGGGAAACATGGGAGGGTGGCTCTGCAGCAGCGACCTGCTGACATGGGAACCCTCCAGAGCCCCAGCATATATTTCCTATCAACACAAGGCAGTGTTCAAGGCAGTGCTCCTGAATACTTTGGGAGCATCAGGACTTTGCTCACTGGAGTGAAATTTTCCAGCATCACCACTGTCTCTCCATCCACCTCAAAAGTCTTGTCTAACAGAGGTTGAGCTCAGCACATTTGCATGTTTCCTGAGTGCTGTGGCCAGCTCATCCTCTGAACTGTGTCCCAGGAACATGAGCTGTCATCCGTGGGAAATGTAGAGCTGGTATATCTGTGCAGACACGTCCAAGACAGCAGAGCTGCAGCTAAACTCACAACCTTTCTCACAGCATCAGCTCACTCCACATGCCGTGCTATCACAGGTCACTGATAACCTCCTAACTCACAAGTGAAAGACTGGAGATGAACACCATGGATATTGGGAAAGGTCACAGCTAATGACTGAAAACAAAGCTGGGGGCCCACAATGCCTTCTGCTCCTGGTACACCGGTTTTACTGGGAGCTTGAGGTGATTGGGAGCTCTCTTTGAGCTGTAACACATCAACATTTTTTGCATTTACATATCCAAGAACAGGGAAAAGCAGAAAAGCCTTCTGGAGCAAAGGAAGGACAAAGGTAACGAGAAGAGCAAGTGGAATTCAGGCAAATCAGGAGTTGAGTGCAAGTTGATAGTACATAAGGACTTCTGCCCTGAAATACTTTACTACTGTCTTTTCATCCAGTAAAAGCCAGTGAGCCACAGATGAGGTGGTCGGGCTGATAAATTCAGTGCCCACTGCCTGCTTCCACCAGGCTGCACCCATGGCAGCCACCCACCACGCTCTGCAGGCTATTGCAACCCTGGGATAGGCTCTGAGGTGGTGGGAACAGCAAATAAAACAGGAGTGAGCCTCCCCTTATGCTCCATGGCTTTGGGCACTGGGCTTAGACAGAGATGCAGACAGAGCAAGAAGGATGCAGTTCTAATTTCC